TGTCAGACTAAACGTGCGTGTGTATAGGATGGTGTAGTTCTGGGAGCAGACACAAGAGCCACCTCTGAAGAAGTAGTGGCAGATAAAATGTGTGCCAAGATTCACTACATTGCACCTAACATATAGTAAGTAACAGTAAGGATTAAAAAATGGGCTTTAAAAAAAATTGAATGTCAGATGTACATAATTTATAAAGTAAATAATTATACACTCTAAAAAATGCTGGGTTAAATATAACCCAGCATTTTTTAGAGTGTAAAACTTATTAAAAATCATTCTATGTTATTCTTGTTAGTTGTTGTGGAGCAGGGACAGCTGCGGATACTGAGAAGACGACAGATATGCTGTCATCAAACCTCACCATTTTCTCCATGAACAGTGGCAGGAACCCAAGAGTCGTCATGGCCGTTAACATACTACAAGACATGCTCTTCAGGTGTGTGCAGACTGTGTATTATTATCTTCACCTGTTGTCACACAAACATTGTTTGTTTTGCATGTATGTTTGTTTGAACCATTGAAGTATAAGGCTGTGTTTTATGTGATATCTCTCTCTAATGTTGATAATGTTTCTCAGGTATCGAGGTATGATTGGAGCTCATCTAATTTTAGGGGGTGTTGACTGCACTGGCAGTCACCTGTACACGGTTGGCCCTTATGGGAGCATGGACAAGGTGCCGTATCTAGCCATGGGTATGTGACATCCAATTGATGAATGATCAACTTATTAGTTAAGAATGTGCTAATTGAGATCAATATGCATTTCTGTTAGATGAAAATATATAGTAATGCTGCACATTTAACTGATTTTCAAAAAGCTGTAGTCTTGAATGTTACTTGTTCTGCTTTCACAGTGGAAATTCATACAATAGATTTTTTTGCATATATGTGATCAGTTCTCAAGTGAATAATCACAGCTATGTTTCTGCGTTTTAAGGATCTGGTAAACTGCCTGCTTTGGGGATACTGGAGGACAGATTCAAAGGAAACATGGATGTAAGTTGCTTTTTTGTTAAAACCTCCTTATTGTACGTTTTTTATTGTCAATATTACTGTTCCTGTAGCTCAAGGTGAAGTAAAATGCAAGGTATTTTCTAAACTCAATAAGTTGGTTCAAGCATTTAAGGGGTCATGCATTGCATTTTTAATTCTTTGATAATGTTTCCTGAGGTGCACTTATAATGTTAGTATGATTTTTACATCAAATATTGTCATAATTTAGAAATAAAAAGCCATTGGAAGGGGCGTGTTGAGCTCTCTCAAAAACCTTTACTACGTTTTTTTCTATTTCAGCTGTTGAGATTAACTAATCATGGAGAGTGTTGATTATAGCATTATATTTAGATCTACTCCTGTCGCATGAAAGGTTGCAGCGATGAGCATTGTAGCCGATGACAGACTGTTGAGCGCATGAATGCAGTGATCTCGTCATTGCAACACGAGTTTCACACTTTCACAAATGCTTTCATCATAACTAATAGTGCAAACACGATGTAAAGGGAGCGTTCTTTGATCGCTTTCTGTATATAATTTAAGATTAGGCATTAGAATGAACACGGTCACTTAGCCTATTATGTTGTGGTATTACTGTCAGGTCCATATCTATAATTACTTCCCTAGGAAAGTAATGTTTTTTTTAGTCCAGTTATCCTGTATTGCTCTTCTCTCCTTCTCATCTCACTAACACTCCAGTGGGCGGGGCCAAAGACGTGATGATGTAGAAGTAGGCGTTGATCTGATTCTGCAGAGGCGGGCTTTCGTTGCACTGTTATGTCATAATGTGACAAAATCTGAAACAAGTCGTTTTCTGATTTTGGTTTCAATAAAAGCTGTTTTTAGACTAGCAAGGACGTTTTGAGCTCTGAAACTCATGGGATGTTTTTATAGCACATTGACCTCTTACATGTCAAAACATCAAGGAAAATTTGATTTCTCAATTCATGACCCCTTTAACTTGAAAAGCATATTCTACTTGTGTGCTCAATTCAAATATGTAGAAATGAAAGCTCTAACTTACAAGTATTACTTTGGAATGTTATTTACAATGCAGTTCTCAAGTATTGATTCCAAAGAAGCTATAGTTTATCCACAAATGAGTACTTTTCAGTGGTATAAAAGTGCAATTTTCACTATTTCTTTTGCAGATGTTGCTGTCAAGTTCTGTAACTTGTTTGGCAATGCCTGAAGTTCATTTTCCAGTTAGAATTATTTGTGTGTGTGAAAAAAAAAAAGTAATCGCTTGTCACCATTATCATGTTTTATGTGCCAGGTGCTGAGGTCCATGTGTGTGGCTCTGACTTTTGTTTCCTAAATAAATATTTAAAGGTCATGTCTCACAGATTAGACAATAAGAATTTAGTTCTTGAGCCGATTGGTTTAAAATGTGCCTTAAAGATTTTTTTTTGTAATGTTTCGAGGTTATTTTTTAAATCCCATTGCATAGATTTGCAAGTTAAAGTTAAACTGAAAGGTTTTAGCATTACTTATTATATCAATATTATATCACAATGTAGATTTGACTTTATCTTATGAAAAAATTGTGTGAAAAATTTTTCATGCTTTTTTTTTTGAGTAAACTGTACTTTACATTTTGTTTAGTGCATAAAACTACATCTTTCTGTCACTATATTGTCTTTTATTCAACCTTTAGCTGGAGGAGGCCAAGGCACTGGTAAGCGATGCCATCCATGCAGGCATCATGAGTGACCTGGGATCAGGCAACAACATTGACCTGTGTGTGATTACGAAAGAGGGGGTGGACTATATCAGACCTCACCGAGAGTCCCTTTATAACTATAAGAGGTAAAAAAAAAAAAAATTTTTTTTATAAAATTACACATTTTTACATTTTATAAAATTATATCATGTCACAGCAACTGCATATTTAAAGGTTAGTGTTAATTGTGCCTAATGCCTAATATTGGTAATATATTGATCTCTCATGGTCTCTCTTTTACAGACAGGCAAAGTACAAATATAACTATAAGAGGTAAAAAAAAAAAAATTTTTTTTATAAAATTACACATTTTTACATTTTATAAAATTATATCATGTCACAGCAACTGCATATTTAAAGGTTAGTGTTAATTGTGCCTAATGCCTAATATTGGTAATATATTGATCTCTCATGGTCTCTCTTTTACAGACAGGCAAAGTACAAATATAAGCCAGGTACAACACCTGTTTTAACTAAAACCGTGAATCAGCTGGAGCTGGTGCATGAGACCGTTCAAATGATGGAAACAGCAGGATCCAGTTGAGCCATGAAATACACTGTGATGTCATAATGTGATCTGGAAGTTACTGTTTTGACAAACAAACGTGAAAAAAGACAGATCATGCTGTAAATGTGTTTTTTTGTCTGATGTTTGTTCGCATAATTCCATGGCTGCGAGTGGACTGATGATCATCAATAAACTACTACAATTTCCAGCATATGCCCCACATATCATTTAAAAAAAAAATGTTTTAGAAACAAAGATCTGTTTTAGTAAACGCAACAGAACTTAATAAAAAAAATGCAACACAAATAAATTCCAAGGACATTTTGTGCAATATTGCTATTATTGGTTATTTGATATGCTCAAATGAATGATTAAAGCCAAATTAAAGAGCTTTCAAAACAATAACGTAAAAGTGTAGTATGTATACTGTGTAAAGATCACTGTGTTGCAAATCATACTTGGTCCTTGTGTTCCATTTCGAAAAGTGGGCATGCTACATATATATACACACACACACACACAAAACACCCATATGTATTAAACTAAACGACATTTAAAGGAAAGAGCAAAAAAGGTCAGCCTTTAATTGGACAACTGAACAGCATATTAGTTCTGATACATAGTATAGGGACAGTTCATTTAGGCTAAATGCATTCTTTTTTATAATATAATTTGTTCTGCAGTTCCATGCATTAAACTCATTATGCATTAATGCATTAAATTTATTGCAATAGGGTGTTTCCACGTTTACGTTTCCGCATTTTCCCAATGTTTCACCTGGTCTTAACCTGCATCGGATGAATCTACACAGATACCGAGGACGCTGAGAGACTCGCGCTCCTATTGGACAGCCAGCTTTATACAGAGCCTTTTCCTCAGACAATCTCAAAGTTATCATATTTATCACAAACACTCTCAAACAACATATAGACAAATAAAAGAAATGCATTTACAGCAATTATTCGAAGTTATAGATTATAGTTTTTCAAAGATATTTTCTGCTCGTAATCGAAACTAAGAACTACTAAATCTTTCGGTTTCGAAATCATTGTCTTCCGTGTTTCCTTCATGTAAAATACTTACACTTCGGCCATTTCGCCTTTTACTGTCTGAATTACTTTAATCGTACTTTCTTTATATAAAGAATGGCTCTTTTGGATGTGAGTGGATATAAACATAATTCCGCGTCACAGCTGGGTTTTAAGCAAACGCATCTTCTCGACCGACTGAATCACTATAGTTTCGGGACCAAATGCCAGGAGTTCGCGGTACCTGTTGGGGTTGATGTAAGTAACTTTAGTGATATCAATTCTTCACTAAATCTTAGAGACCCATTATTGTGATAGACAGCATAAAAACACACATTTTGTGAGAAAATAACTGAAGAATGCTTGAGTTGCACCCAAACATGTTGAACAACAGGTTAGTAAAAAAATATCCCTTGATACATAAACCTTTATTTTTCTAGTTTTGTAGACTATCTTCAGCAGTTGTAGAGCAGGTAATATTTAATTAAAATGGCATTTTAAAGGTTTTTGATTAGCTTAGGCAAGAATATTGAGAATATGTCTTGTGTCTAGGGTTAATTTGCTTATTGAAACATAGGGGGCAGAGTCTCAGCAACAGCAAAAACAAACATTTAAGCAAAATAAATTAGCCTGCCTTGTAACATATTCTGTGTTCCCATCAGCCCTCCAAGTTTCTGAAATCATGCAGTTGCGAGGATGGCGTTTCCATAGATCTGAATCATGGCACCACAACCCTGGCATTCAAGTTCCGTCATGGAGTCATTGTGGCTGTTGACTCCAGAGCATCAGCTGGAAAATACATAGGTAAGTGGGTTAACTCTTCCATGGAAGCAAGCTGATTTTACAACTACACCATAGTACAAAGCATGCCATTCATACTGAAAACAGCATTCAGAATAACACACAATTGCCAAACTGTGTTTTTTCTATATCATGATGTTTCTTCCAATGTGTTGCAGCATCAAAGGAGGCCAATAAAGTGATAGAGATCAACCCTTACCTGCTGGGCACCATGTCAGGCAGCGCTGCAGACTGTCAGTACTGGGAGAGACTGCTGGCGAAAGAGTGCAGGTCTGTCTCAGCATGCTTCTGAGAGCCGTGAAGCATCTGCTCACTGGATGAAGTTACCAGTTTGTGTTTGTGTTCAGCTGTGTCAGGAAATGTATTCGGTTTAAAGCCTTGGTTAAAGATTGTTAGAAGAAAGATTGAAAGATTTAAAGGAATGCTCACACTGTTGTTGAATTGTTTAACTAACTTTCTTAACACTAAATAATATTTTGAGGAATGTTTTAATTATTTCAGTTTCTATACAATAAAATTCCAATGGGATCTGAAACCTTTAAACTCCAAAAAGGACATAAAAGTATGAAGTGATGAACAGATTGAAATTTAGGTCTTTGTTCTGTCTCATATCAAAACATTGTTCAACACACGCATACACAGATTACATAAAATATGGCAAAACAAACCTCAAGTGTCAACTAATACTAAACCTCATTGGTTTCTCGCATGTCACGTGACCAAATGTCATGATGTTTGAGGATCATGTTCATCATATTTGGTGTGAAATCGCATACTCGCTGAGTAGGCACTTCTAAGTACTTACTTCACAACTATTTCTATATGACATGAATGTGTGTAGTATGAATATAATCTGGATGTGCTACGTTCGTCATGTTGTCATTATCAATTGACCTACAGTTACAGTTGTCACTCACAAATCCTCTCTCTTGGCCTCATGGGACAGTGAAGTATCCAGTGGATGCACACTTCAGAATATCATCGAAAGTAATAGGTCATCTGACAAGATTTGCTTCATGAATACTGTGAATTTGGACATATTACTCATTCACGAAAATCTGGAATCTGAGGGTGCAGAAAAATCAAAATACTGAGAAAATCACCTTTAAATTGTCCAAATGAAGTTCTTAGCAATGCATATTACTAATCAAAACTTAAGTTTTAATATATTTACAGTAGGAAATTTACAAAATATCTTCATGGAACATGATCTTTACTTAATATCCTAATGATTTTTGGCATAAAAAAAAAATCAATAATTTTGACCCATACAATGTATTTTTGGCTATTGCTACAAATATACCCCAGCGACTTAAGACTGCTTTTGTGCTCCAGGGTCACATATGTACACACAAATGTACCACAATCACTATGTGATTTTATCTGAAGAAATTCAAATGTGCCGAAGCTCATTATGTTCTGTTGATTCTTATGCTTGCTCGTTCTGTTGTGACAAACACAATGTCACCCTGTTGCTGTTTGAACCACCGCTATTCTTCTTTAATATATGAAGTATTTGTGTGTTTTAAAAACAGACTTTACAAACTCCGTAACAAGCAGAGGATCTCCGTGTCTGCAGCCTCCAAACTGCTCTCCAACATGATGCTGGGATACAGAGGCATGGGCCTGTCTATGGGGAGTATGATCTGCGGCTGGGACAAACAGGTGAAGTCTGTCTGTCTATACGACTGCTTTTGTGTTTTTTGCTTATTTGCATATTTTCAGAGTGTTCTCAGTTAAGCATTTTATACAATGCAACAATAAAATAAAAAAATACAATAATTGTAAAGCTCTTAGTAAGGTCTTGTGGCACAATCATGCATACACATAATCTACAGTTATATTCATGTTACCTCTTTTCCCTCACATCAGGGTCCAGGCCTGTACTATGTGGATGATAATGGCACTCGTCTCTCCGGCCGGATGTTCTCCACTGGCTGTGGGAACAGCTATGCGTATGGTGTAGTGGACAGTGGTTATCGTGAGGATATGACTGTGGAGGAGGCGTATGAGCTGGGCCGTCGTGGTATTGCTCATGCCACACACAGAGACGCTTACTCCGGTGGCGTGGTCAACCGTAAGTACCAGCAATGCACTGTAAAAAATGATTGTGATTTTAACAGTAAAAGACTGTAAAAAGGCTACAATAAAAACCTGTTAATTGGTTATCAGTAAGTTTCCATACTATATACGGTGAATAACTGTAATTACATTTAATGTAATTTTACAGTAAAGTACTGTTAAAATTACGGTTTTTGGAGGTGAAAAAGAAAAAGTCATTGTATAATTTACAGTGAAAAACTGTAAATTGACACTCCCAGAATTCCCTGCATGACACTTCATATTTTATGTTTTTTCGTTGAAATAACATGTTTCTTCTTAGTTTTTTCTTATCAGTTATACATTAGGGTTTAATCTTACATCTAATGTTGTTAAATGAATGTTTATTGCATTATTTCAGTATCATGTGTGTCACCATGATGGTGTTTAGTGTTTGTGTGAATGACACTGTGCACACTCTATGTATATATATTAGAGTATTTTCCTTCTCAGCTTTTGGAAGAGCTGTTTGTGATGAGCTTTGGTTCATCATGTGACTTTCTCATCACCACCTGTTTTTGGTGGTTATCAGCATTTCAATGGTTTAAAACAGATATTAGTACTTCAATATGCTGGTTTATTAACATTACATCAGTTAATGAAATACGTTTTCTTTATTGTGAATTTAAGCTAAATCTGTAAAACCTAAAATGTTTCTACCATATTTTTAACGGTGAAGTTCTGGCAACCACAGCTGCCGGTATTTTACCGTAAATGTCACAGATTTTTTTTTACAGTGTGTATTACAAACTGGCTAGCAATGAATCTGAATCTTAACATTAATATAAAAATGTAAGAATATTGAGCTGCAGTGATGTGCTATTATGGTTCAACCAAAATCTGTAAGAAGTGTGAATTTGTCCCTGACAATAAAACAAAACAACCCCAGTACAAGAAATTACACTAAGCTTTGTATTTCTGTCCTACATTATTGTTTTCTTAATTCAATAATGTACGCTATTGTTGCATAGTTTTTGTGTGTCATATTTAAGAGATGAAGTCTTCACATATGTTTTCTCCTCTTAGTGTACCACATGCAGGAGGACGGCTGGATCAAGGTGTGTAAGGAGGACGTGTCAGAGTTAATCCACAAATATAAGAAGGGAATGTTCTGATCTGATCTCTCATTTATCTGACAGTAAATATTAAACTGTTATCAAATCAAAGACACTTTTGGTGCATTCTTTATTATATATTTGAATAGTATTTTCTGTAACTATCTGTCTCAGTGAATAAAAAATGAACTTAATTCACTTATGTTACAGGACAAATATAGCTCCGTGTTTGTGATGACTTTTTGTGCTTATTCTACCCATTTTTGTATGTGGTTCCAACTGGGTTATTCTCTGGGAACTGTGCAGTGTGTGCCAGAAAAATTCAGAAAAATAATTTCATTTGGAAAGATTATTGCTGATTATTTTTTAAGGGGACCACTATAGGCAGTGCATCCTCCCCAATATTCAGACTAGTGGTGAACAAATATGGGATGCACAGCTTCTTTTTTTTTTTTACTTTATAGACCATGAAATAATATTTTAATTTCAATATAGCTTACTTTAAAGGGGACCTATTATGCCCTTTTTACAAGATGTAATATAAGTCTCAGGTGTCCCCAGAATGTGTCTGTGAAGTTTCAGCTCAAAATACCCCACAAATCATTTATTATACCATTTTGAAATGCCTATTTTGAGTGGAAGCAGAAACATGCTGTTTTCGTGCATGTAAGCACACACACAGAAAGCGGCTGTCACTCGGCATGTCAATATTGAACTAACAAAAATAATAGATTTGTGTATTACCTACCGCTGTCGCTGTTACAGTTTCTTTTTTGCTAACAAGCATTGTTCAATACTGAAGCCACATTTTCAAAACTGTTCACATCATTCAGCGGTAGTCTAGAAATCTATGCTAAACAAACTGAATCATTTTTCATTGCTTTCAGACTAAATGCATTCAATGACCACATTTATCAAAATCTACAAACACTTTTGTCATTCATATACTCCTCAACCTGCAAAACACTATATATTTTCAGCACATTTTTCAGTTGCTAACACACTGCTTTCAAAACTGATAAAAGAACATTCAAATCGTAACAATGGCAAACTCTGTCCATTTCTGCAGGAATTATATTGAAATATAAAATCTTAGCAGAATATTTACTGTGAAATTGAATAATAATGATTCCAAACACAACTAACTGCAATTTCAGCTGAAAGCCAAGCCAGATGTCCTATTTGTAGTGTTTTTCTGTGGTATTTTTGATAAACAAATAGGATGGATGCCTTCAGAATGATTTTGTTTGGAAACATGGATCAAGGAAGACACATTGGTGGGGAAAAAAGAGTGGCAGAGAGAGGGAGGACTAGAACCCTCACAGTACTGTACATCCATCCATCCATACATTCCATACATTTTCCTAAGCGCTTGTCCTATTTAGGGTCATGTAGAGGCTGGAGCCTTTCCTGGGTCACAGGCAAGAAAACACCCTGGACAGATGGCCAGTCCATCACAGGGATGACAAACACACACACACACACACACACACACACACATACACATTCATATTCACACTCACTTACAGTCTCCAGTTCACCTGTCCTGAATGTCTTTGGATTGTGGGAGAAACCCAGAGGAAACCAACATCAACACAGAGAGAACATACAAACTCCACAGAGAAAGGCCTCCTGGAGCAGCTGGGACTCCAATACTGCACATACCTCATTATACTAGACATGCTGTTGATGTTTTTTTTTTTTATTTTTTTATTATTGCTTCAGGAAATTATGTTTTTATTTTATTTTTCACAAGTACATTTTGTAAATGTTGATGTGGTTTTGTTTATGGTATGTAAAGAAATAGGGTCAGTAATACAGTCAGTAAAATGAAAATGTGTTATTCTTATCCTATAATGAAATACTTGTGACAAATCATTCAAACTTCAAAGATAAAAGTTCATAGTTTATGTAATGCTCCGTGTAGTTAATGTTTTTTCGATCAGTGTGTTGAAGGAGTGGAATCCTGGATTCATCACGGCCTTCATAAAATATATTAATTATCCTTTTGCATGATTATTGATCAAGCTATTAATTAGTATTTAACCTCATAGATTGTTAGTTGATTGAATAAAATTATTGTTTACCATACACCAGTGAATAGACATTGAAAATGTATGTGTATTTACAGTAATATCTTTCTCTCCCTTTAGTGAGTAGTTGGAATGTGTAACTAGGTTTTTTATATATGCTGACTTTTTATTCTCTCCATTTAATTTTCCTGTGCTGTATTGATTAGTCATTCTGTTCACCTGCCATTCTATTAATTAACTCATTATAGTCCTTGTGTTCCTGAGTTCCTTGTTCCTGTCTCCATCAATGTGAAGGTGTTGTGTTCTCCGGTTTAATGAGTGAGTTTTGAATGAAAGACTATTCTGATTGTATCTTTGTGCGCTACTTAAACTGTGCAACATTAACTAAGATTAATAAATGCTGTGTAAGTATCGTACATGTTAACTAATATAGTTATTAACACGAGTAAGTATACAAATATGTAATATCATTATCTTGGTATTTGACATGGTTCAAAATAGAGACCAAACTTATTGCTATAGTCTGAATGTGACAGTGATATGGATAGTGTCCGTAAAAGAGACTTAGATGTGTGATTCAGGTCCATGTACACACACAAAACTCTAGACACCATTACAATTATGGAAGCTCAGTAACCTTGGAACAACACGAACATTATGAATGTCCTCTTTTTAAAGTTAAAGCCTTAAATCAAGCATTATTAAAAAGACTACTCTTATCTACATTGTTTCACTTAAAAATTAGATGAAGGCCTTTAGTTGCTAGGTAGAATTGAGTGTAACAGGCTGTGATTTGCTGTATTTGGTGACTAGAGAAAAACAGCTGATGGAAACTTCTCATCTGTGTGAGAAGGAATGTTTGGGCGATTTATCAATGAATTAGTGGTTTTAATAAAAGTACTAAGAATTTGACAATGGCAAGTCACTGATTACAGCGAAATAAATGTATATAAATTACTATATATTAATTTACTTATTAATCTACAGCAGCAAACAGCTATGTTTGAAACTTTGTTTTAAAGTAAAAAAATACTTGCTGTAATTTTTTTAAAGGCCATATCGGGGAATAGAGATAGCTGGATCCGCCACAGCCACAGTTCTCATCTATCATTTTCTTTGGAATATGCTTTCACAAAAGAGTGACCCTTAAGAGCTCTTTAAAGTGCTAAATGATATTTTTCTGGTGTCATATATCTGAGCAGCTCAACACTCTTCCTTCTGTCTTGTGTTCATTGTGAATATACCACGACATTTCACCAACAACATTTCTACAAATTCTGCACGCCTGCAGTGGTGAATACAGTCATTTTGATTCTGAATAATATTTCATATCAACTTTGGGAAAGAATCATGCTTTTTAACATCATAGATAAGATTCTGTTGAATTCGAAGCAAAAGTTCATTAATAGATTCTGATGAAATATGGATACTGTTTTGACAACAGAAAGACACATTCACCACTTGCCACTTTTTGTGAAGTTTATTTAATTTTAAAGAATCAAAATAAGATTACAATGTTCTGAAGGCAACCAATTTACAAAAACTTAATTTAGATTTAGTAACCTCAAATCAAGGAAAATATCTATAGTTTACTGTACTGTACAGATGTTCATGTAAAAGTTCATTAGTACAGTATCTTAAACATTACAAGAATCAATATTATTCTGTAGTTCAACTTATCTAAATTATGTAAAACAAACAACAACAAAAAAGTATACAAACAGAAAAAGCCCAATAATCCCATTCAAGAAATAAAATATGAAGCCTACATATTGTCTAATTTCATTGATGGAATAGTCCAATTCCACAATTCATCCAGAGTTAGCGTTATTTTAAGTTTTCCATGACTTGTTAGCCTTCCCCTGATTTATTTCATATTTTATTTCTCACAGAAATAGTCTCATCTCATGTGACTGCTATAATATACTCTGACTGACTATAAACACATTCACAAGTTTCTCTTTTTTACAGTCAGTACTGATATCACACATCCTGCAAATTGATCAAACTTGCAAATCAATTATTTGCATTCTTGGTTTTCTCTGGTTTTGTCACCAAAGAGAAATATATAAATTTTACAATTAAGTTCTGAGATCAACATGTCATCTTAAAATGAACAAGTTCGAACAATTAAAGAAAAACAGAAGATGAGCATAAAATGTGATGAAACAAAAACTTTGCAGATGTAATTAATGTAGAACCCTAATATAGATCAATCCTGTCACTGAAATCTATGATCCTGTGTGTTTGTGTGTTATAAGCACGATGGACAGCAGGATAAGCATCATTTTTACTTCATCTCTTGCACTCATCTGGTCTCCTAAAATGGCAAAAACATATTACATTTAATTGATTTCACATGACTGAAACAGTTGCACTAATGAATAATAATAATAATATTAATAATACACTTACATCTTTATGCTTTTGGATCTGAATGAGCGGAGCTGTTTGAACCATCATCAGATGCTAGAACAGAAAACACAAATTACAATTATCATGACAGCTACACCACACAGTTGCACAATTTCTTTTTTATTAGATCTATTTAAAGAAAGATATTGTAGAACTATGCATATATTTCGACTTACTCTTTGATTTTACATTACCAAAATTTTAGAAATATTAACATATTACTATTAACCACATCATGAATGGCAGAGCCCATCTGTTATTAATAAATATCAGATGGAGATTATGAAAAACTTACCATTGACAGGTTTAAAGCCTGAAAAACAGAAATCCACAAAGATGAAATATTAGCACACAAATGTGTAAAACATACAGTGTAGTCGATAGTGATAATAATAATATCTGAGTCTCTCTCACCTTTCTTTTTCTGGTAGACCTTATACCCAGCAACACCAGTGACAACCAACAGGAGGACACCAGCAACAGCAGCAAGAATGATGCCGATGGGGACAGAAGCTGAAGAATCTGATCAAATGAAAACATCAGGTTATTAAAGACTCTGACAATCTTAGAAACTGGTACAGGTTTCAGATTTCAGCAGATACAAAAACAACATCTATGACTATGATATCTGCAGTACATTAGCACAGACTAATCAGAGACTGGCAATAGCAAATGATTTCCATTAAAGGGGTCATATGATGCGATTTCAAGTTTTCCTTTCTCTTTGGAGTGTTACAAGATGTTTGTGAATAGATAAGACCCCTGAAGTGTTTCATGGTCTACTCATCCAGACAATCGCTCTCACCGTAGTTAGTTTTGATCTTGTCCTCCGTCAGAATGCTGCTGATGGTTTCACCCTGATGCTCCACCACACAGCTGAACTTGTTGTTCTTCAGCTCATCAGGTGTAACTGTGATGGTGCTCGTCACCTGAAAGGTCCCATCCTCATTGGGAATAAGTTGTCCAAGATCCACATCCTCAATATGATCTTGTCCGTTTTTCTGCCAGGTGACTGTTACTCCACTGGGGTAAAAACCTGTAGCATGACACGAGACTGAAGACGAGGAAGACTTCTGCAGCAGAGACACCTGAGGAGAGACTGAGAGAGAGAGAGAGAGAGATTAAGATAAACAAAAAGAAACAGTGAAATTGAAAGAGAAAATTAGCCATAGTCTGCAACATTCAAATAAAACAAAGCAAATCTATAAGGTTGCTGTATATTTCTTCTCTTTATCTGTTGTTGTAGTCCTGAGATCACATCAAGAGCTTTTATCAGCCAAATAATCGGTTATTAATCCGACTGACGGCTCAAGCAGATTGAAAAGCTTTGATGTAAACACCTCAATCGATCCGACTGAGCTGGGTCTGAAGGATATTTCAATCAGAATAATAAAAGGGGTGGTGTAGACCTAAAATAATCTGATCAATAGAATAAAAATCAAGCATCTTCTCAGATTGAAATAAACCTTGTGAACATGTGCAGTGCCATGAAGCACATGTATCAAAGCCCTTTTATAGATCTATTTACATATGTTTTACTTCTTATGAATGTGCAAGTTTGTTTATGTCTTACGAACTGGTCAGTGAAGGAGACTGAATATTGAATGAATATTTCCTGAAAAAACAGCTCTTCTGACATGTTTGTCAGCTTTCCTTTTAGGTATGTCATCAAGACAAAGATGACAGTTATACTTCAGTGACATTATAGCAGTTATTTCTAGCGGTGTCTGATGCTCTGCGCATGTGCTGACGTCTTGTTTGGATACACAAATGAGCATTTAAACGAAAATGTGAATTGGATTGCAAAGGGTTTATATAAACACAACTTTCAGAATCTGAAATCGAGTGGATTCGTTCAGATTGACAACAATGAGTGCATGTAAACATATCCATCTTTTAGATTATTATTCTAATAAATAATAAGGGTTTGACTCCTGGCCTCATGTTTGTGTGAAAATCAGTTGGGTGTAGTGTTACTATATGATAAAAATCCCTCACAAATACCTGCTACGCATGTATATTAATACAACAACACGTAAGAATATGTATGATTATATCTTAAATATCAAAATGTGATTCGAATAACCTCTTAACGTCCTGCACGCATTTACATCATGTTTTAGTTTTTAAGCAAGTGAATGCAGACAGAGTATAAAGACAGGGAGTGGAAAGGAGATATAGTCACATATAACCAAACGTTTTGTTGTATACAGCTGTTCTATTTCCTGGTGAAAAGGTAAATGCTGTAACGATGAGTGCTCACTATGCAGTGATTATCAAAGCAACTGATATTCCTACCGTTTCTCTCCAGAGTGTCCTTCCCATATCTCACATACTTCTGCAGCCACTCAATGCATGTGTTCTCCAGATATGCTTTCTGTTGTTCTGCAATAGCTCTATTAGCCTCCCATTTGTGTTTGGTAATGACAGCTTGAGGACTAGCAGCGGTCCAGGTGAGGGAGCTCTTATCCAGACTGACGAAGTCCTCTCCATCATAACCAAACTGGAAGTATCCTCGTTTGGTGCCATCATCATTCAGCTCACAGCCGTACATCAGCTGCCACGAGTGAACACCTGAGAAGAGAGAAACAACATGATATATCACACTCACCATTCTTCATCTCTTCTAATATAACCTAAAGACTTGATGATTGA